TTTCAAGTTTTAGTTACAATGTTATCCTTGTTAATTGTTTACAAAGCATCAGAATTTCTAGTTGTGACATTTCATCCCCAAGAGTTCAAATCTCGGAATGACCTTGGAAAGGGGCCAAAAATGACAACATACAAGCTCAGATGAAGGTTTAAGTGAATAGAAGCCAAGGTATAAGCTTTATACCTTTATCAAGACAGAAATGAGTCCTTGGCTCTGGATCTTCAACCTTCCTTCTGCAACTCCAAGTCTTTGCTTCCTTCTTCTAGCTTTAAATCAAAACATTGGAAAAGAAATAGCTCAAGATCACTCAAGGTTGATCAGGGTTTCGAGATTAGGGTTGGGAGGTGATGGAGGCTGGGGTGGAGGCCAGATAGGATGCTTAAAGAGGGTGCAAGCCCTAAAGATTAGGGTTTCATCCAGACTGTCCTACTCGTCGAGTCAGGACTTCGACTCGTCGAGTAGCTCATTTAAAACCAGCGCATATTCTGCCTTCTACTCGACAAGTTAGGGCCACCAACTCGTCGAGTAGCCCTTCCAAAATGAATAAAGAATAAAGTTAAATGCATAGCAGGAACCAGTCGTTACAATCCCGACGGGTCGTGGTTCATGGTCCTCGTGGTCGTTCGTTGTGCGTATCACGAATTGAAACGGAGAATGTGATTGGTTGTGGGATTGCAACGACTTTGTAACGTATATATTTTTTTAAATTTTTTTACGTTTCAAACAAATTAAACCTCTTTTATAAATACCACACTTTCTATTATATACTTACATAATTTCTTCTTTCTTTTCTCACAATCACACACTTGTTTTGAATTCATTCAAAACCAGTGGCTCCTAAAAGAATGGATTGGTCAGAAAATGAAGAAGAAAACTTAGCACAAGCATGGGTAACGGCTTCAGAAGACCCAGTAACGCCTCTTAATTTTTGAGTAAAACTTGGAAACGTTTTCCATGATTTAATGGGTTGCCAAAGTCGTAGTCTTGATGAAATATGTTCGAAGTACCGCGATATGAGGGTTAAATGCCTTGAATTCAATGGTATTTATAACTTTGTTATAAACAACGTACACGAAAGCGACCCGTTTGCTGTGGTCATGCACCAATATGAAGACACGAAACACACACCGTTTAAACACGTTAAAGCTTGGCGAAAATTGAGAGTGCCCAAAATTTAGTCATTCAAAATAAGGTTTAAAAACTAATTTAAGTTGTTTGTGGTTGCATTTTTATGTTTTTTTTTTAAATTTATGTTGTATGTTTTAAATTAATGTAATCTTGTTTCATTGAATAAAAAACTAGTTTAAAAAATATATATTTTATTGTGTTTTTTAATTAAATTTAATTAAAAAAATATGTTTTGTTGTGTTTTAATTTATTTTTGAATTAAATTTAAATAAAAAAATAAGTTGGAGTGGTGTATTTAGTGGTAGACATCTCATTATTAGTGGTGGGAAGTGTGGTGATGATGTGACACTCACCACTATATTGATTAGTAATGGATATAAAAGATAACTTTATAACTAATAAAATGGAAAAAATATTAAATTTTACATCCGGTGCTTTTGTGGTGCCGGCGGAGTCGTACCAAGGATCCTGGATACCTCCCTTGACCCGCCAGAGTTCGTGCAAGCTTACAATGTTGGTGGACTGGTGCCGTGTTTGATTCTTGCGGTTTCATTAGGTCCACAGACTGGGTAGGAGAAAAGTTTAACGAGGACCAAAAGTTGACCAAAGGATAAAACTGAAAAGCTTATGAGCTTATCCAACAGTCGCTAATGGTGCATCTGTTTACTTTCTCCATGAATAAATCGCTCTCACCTTCTCCTACTTCTTTCCTGTGCGCCTGCGGTCCGGATATTATCAACCCGCCCCCACCCTCTCCAAAGGCAGCATCTTTGAATCCATTTTCATCAATAAGACATGGCACCTGCTGGTTCTCTACGCTTAATTTATCCCCCAAATCAAGCCTACTGGCCCTGCCCCTTTCCAGGCGCCGACGACTCTTCGAATGCAACGTTCTTCAAGCCACCCCGACCCATGAAGTCGATTCAGGTTAGTCCCTTTCTCTTTCATTTTCACGAACACCTTCTCGGCCTTCAAAATCTTGAATTCCCTTTTCGCTTCTGTCTCACAGCAACTTCCCTGTTCGCCCTCTTCCTTGAAATGGGTATAAGCAAAAAAGGAACCGACGCTATTTTGGAGAATCACCCAGCTCTAAGGGTGGCGCCTTTTGAGTCCATTCGCACCCAAATCCATGGTCTTCAAAACCTTGGAATTAATGGTCCTGTGTTATTTAGATTGATTAAAAAAAGACCCGACGTTTTGATTGCTAAAGAAATCCATTCCTTGGTTTGCTTTCTTTCCCATGATCTTGTTAAAGATACGAATATGATTGAGGCTGCCCAGCTTGCCCGCCTTCTTACTGCTACAGACCCAAAACTTTTGTCTGGTTTTGAAGCAAAGGTTCGGTTGATGTTGGATCTTGGGATCCCAACAGAGAGACTTGCTCATGTTCTCAACAATGTGAATTTAACCAAGGCCTTGTGTTTGAAATCCTATGAAGAGATTGAAAGAATGATTAGTTTCTTGAACGGGTTTGGGGGTGTGGAGTTGATACTCCGTCGTCCAGCCATTCTGAATTTTGATCTGGATTCACAGCTGATCCCAAGAATCGAGTTTTTCTTGAATATGAGCGGGGGAGATGAGGTTGCGACAACTACTGTGTTACTGAAGCTGCCTTTCATTTTAGCGTACACAGTGGACCATTATACTAATCACGTTGACTTCTTCAGATCATTTGCTGGGTTAACCGATGAAGAGATATTTAAAATAATACTTGTGTATCCAAGTTTGTTTAGTGCAAGCCGTGAGAGGAAATTACATCCTAGAATCGAATTCCTTAAGCAATGTGGGTTCAATTCTAATGACATCTATAAACTGTTGATCAAAGCCCCTCTTTTTCTAAGCCTGTCATTTGATGATAACCTTGCATATAAATTAGTCCTTTTGGTGAAGATTGGGTATGAACATAGAACCAAGGAGCTGGGTTTGGCAATGGGATGGGTGTGCAGGACTAGTTGTAAGAATATGCAGGAGGTGATCAGCCTGTTCTTGAATTATGGGCTCACTTGTGAAGAAATTCTTGCAATGGGAAAGAAGCATCCACAGGTATTGCAATACAATCATAAATCAATGAAGCTGAAGCTGGATTACTTGACTCAGGAGATGGGTTATGAAGTTAAGGAGATGTTGGCTTTTCCTGCATTTCTTGGTTATGGGTTTGATGGAAGGATTAAGCACAGGTTTGAAGCTAGTGGCAAAAATTCAGGGGAAGGGATGTCCATTAACAAGCTGTTTAGCATGTCCACTGCAAGGTTCTCTAAGAAGCATGAAAAGAAGTTGCCTGTGCTTGTAACAAAAGCTTAGGGTTTTTTTTTTTTTTTTTTTTTTTAAATCATCTGGATAGTTTTGTTAATTTTATCTTGGCAAGAGTAGCTTCAACATGCACTTCCGCACTTGTCATAGAGGGTTGCAACTTTTTGTGGTTTAATGAGAATTTAACATTTGAATTATTACTTCCACCAACATGCCGCATTTTCTCTGATTTATTGTAATGCATTCTTTTCTGTTTTGCCATGTCATCAGATATCGACTCAAAACTAGCAAGAAAGGTATTTTGCCACTCTAATAGCTATTGGTAACCTAAATGGTCAAGGTTGCAAATTTTATTTTGAAGCCATGACCACTTTTATGCTTAATAGTATTAAAGAGGTGAAAACAAAAAATAGGTTAGAATATGGTTTTCGCCCTATTTGCCCAAATGAATAAGTAGATCTAATTCTAAATTAAATTTTACATATTTTAATTTACTTTTCTATGATAAGAAAAATAGTTACATGTATACTATTTAGTTATTTAAAGGGTAAAAACAGAAAAACACAATCAATTTATACTTGTATATTAAAAAAAACACTTATATTCTTTATGTTAGAAAAAAAATTATTATATTATTATTTACTTTCAAATAAAACCAATTTGTATGTTTTTAGAAGAAATGATGGGGTAAAAATATGATATGATATACATTTCACTTATATTTCTATGTTTGTCTACGAAAACATGTTGGACCTTGCATATATTTTGATTACTTTTGGTCGATTGTGTTATGTGCATGGAACTATACGATTGATTTTTCCCTGTTTAATTAATCATTTTTATCCCAATTAATATCAAAGTCATATTAAAAAACAAAAATAGGCAAAATAAGAGCAATTCTAAAGAAAATAAAACCATAATTAGTTTCCTTATAATTTGTAATAATTCTACATTGGAATCGATTTCTACATAACGAAAATCATAAAAAGCAACAATATAATGGCTATTGCATAAAACCAACTTGTATTAAAATGGAATTGCACCATGCATACTATAGTATAGTCCCCATCAACCAAAGTAAGTTCCAAATAGTAGCTCAAAGACAAATGGAATCCAAAAGTCCAAACACAAACGTACAACAGCTCTAAATTTCTTTGGATAACAAGCCATGAATGAATGGGAAGCTCTCAAGTCTCAAGTCTACCCACCTAAGCCACAAATCTCATTTCTTAGCATGAAAGGCATGAATATTAGGTCCAAACACTCACCACTGGCTTCTATGTCGTCGTCTTCTTGTCTCCTTGTGAAATCATATTTCTTCCCTATTTTATTGACTATTCTGCTTCTTACCACTTTACAACTTTCTTTTGCACTCAATCATCCTGGTCCTTGAGTCGTAATATTCCAACACCCGGCCAGTCATTTTTCTTGAACCTACATAGTACATGTACCAAAAAAAAAGGATATATTATATGCATATTAAAGAGACCTACCTATACACACACACACACATATATATATATATATATATATATATATATATATATATATATATATATATAT